ATATATATTATAAATAAATTTTAATTTGTGCACCCCTTATCATTGTCATGGCCTTTCAGCAATTTCGTTTGAATGTATGTTGTGCGCTGGGGAAGAAGCAACATTTCACTTCTGACAGAACGTTTATTTATTCGACAGATGCAATGCAGTTTAAAGCCTGTTTCACACCACAAGCAGCGCATGAGCAGAGCGGGGTTTTTTCCATCGTCCATGTTAACAGATTAGATTTCACACCACATGCAGAAGCAGCGCGGCAGCGTCACTGATGCAGCAAAACCACGATAGTTTCAGCGCAGGGTCTATTTATGATAAACACATTGATTGACAGTAAAAAGTAGCAATTTTACCCAATAAATGCAGCGATATTACCCACGGACGTATATATAGTCAACCAAATGAACTTAAACAATTAAAAAACAGCAACAAGCATTAATTCGGGCTCGAACTACACACCCAAATGCAAAACAATTTAAGAGTCAGTTTTGCTTAGTGAGTTGCACACTAGTTTGATCATGTATAAACGTCATTATAACTATATTGTGTAAATATTATTATAACTAGGCCTACAACATGCCGACAATCAAAAACAAAAGGACATGATATTAGAGGCGACTGTCTTCTGAGCGCAGCAGACATGAATGACACTCCTCATAGAGCGTGAGGAGCAGACAGCACTGTAGGATCTAGATCATTTGTATAATAAAGACTTGCAGATTAAGGAAACAGATTAGGAGGAAGTTGCTGTGGGCCTTGGAGCAGATGAAAAGTAAAAAAAAAAGTGTGTGTATATATATATATATATGAAGCATTCAGATGCTCAGACTTCTTTTCTTGTAAATGAGCATTTTCCATCAGACTCCTCTGATTAGGTTCAGAAGTTTTATTTTATAAGTATACGGTTATTAGCAAGTGAATAAAATACCTTTTTTTTAAAAATGTCACTTTAGACAATTCTTTGGGTTTTAACAAGTCAGCCCAGTCAGGGCCAGAGCAAGCTGAACTGCCGCTCTAAGCAGATGGTGAGGGAATTGTCACGGACATAACTGAGGTAAGGGTGTTCCGGACACCCCCCTCTCTATACTGCTGCCCTAGGCAGCCGCCTAGGTCACCTCTATAAACGCGCCGTCCCTGAGCCCAGTGCAGTATGGGGTGCCTCAAGGATCAGTTTTAGGCCCTTTACTGTTTACAATTTACATGCTACCTCTGGGAGACATTATTAGAAGACATGGGATCAGCTTTCACTGCTGTGCAGATGATGCTCAATTATATATTTCAACTAAACCTGACGAGACGTCTGAACTGTCTAAGCTAACTGAGTGTATTAGAGATGTTCAAGACTGGATGACCAACAATTTTGTTCTCTTAAACTCAGACAGAACAGAATTATTACTTATTGGGCCTAAATCTTGTACACAGCTGATCTCGCTACTCAATCTACAATTAGAGGGATACAGAGTTAGCTTTAGCTCTACTATAAAAGATCTGGGTGTCATATTAGACAGCAATCTAACTTTTGAAAACCATATATCCCATGTCACAAAAACTGCCTTCTTTCATCTGAGAAATATCGCTAAATTACGAAATATGCTATCCATCTCAGATGCAGAAAAGCTAGTCCATGCTCTTATGAGCTCTATGCTGGATTACTGTAATGCTCTGTTTGCTGGCTGTCCAGCATCCTCTATTAACAAACTTCAGCCAGTACAAAATGCAGCAGCCAGAGTTCTGACCAGGTCTAGAAATATGATCATATCAGCTCAATGTTCTCCTCCTCACACTGGCTGCCTGTTCAGTTTCACATTGAATTAAAAATATTACTCCTCACCTATAAAGCTTTAAATAATCGAGCTCATGTTTATCTAACTAACCGTCTGTCTCGCTACAATCCAACTCGCTCTTTAAGATCTCAAAACTCTTCTGTAGTACCTAGAATAGCAAAGTCTACTAAAGGAGGTCGAGCCTTCTCCTTTATGGCTCCTGTACTCTGGCCTACCTGATAACGTCCGAGGCTCAGACATTCTCTCTTAGTTCAACACTAGATTAAAGACCTATCTGTTTAGTAAAGCGTACACTCAGTGCATCACTTCCACACAAGTTTCTGCATCTTGTTTATATACACTATGAACAGCAGCTACGCTAATTATTCTATTTATTCTGTATTTTCACCTGGGGATACTCATCCCGAGGTCCTCAGATTATGCGGAGTCACTGATTCGACTCAAGACCAGCGATGAGATGATCCCAAGGCTTCCATAATCCTGGACCAGGCCGTATCCTGAGCAGCTGCTGTGGTGGTCATGGAGGAGTGGAGAGCATGAGACTGATTCCTGTGATGCTCCAGGGACAGACGAGTCTTCGTTAAGGCCAGCTTCCAGCCTCTGCTGCTGAGACTGCAGCTCTGCACAAGACTTTTGGCCAGCGAAGAAATTTAAATGTTCGCGCCAAACTGAGTCCGGTTTCTCTCCAGGTTTTTTTTTGTTCACTTTCGCCAATTAGTGAAGTTTTTTCCATCTCCGCTGTCGCCAGTAGCCTGCATGGTTCAGGATCGGTAGAGCTGCGCATCGATGATTTTTTTCTCTTCAGTGTTTAGACTCTTAGTAATGACTTTAAACCACACTGAACTGAGCTAAACTGAACTTAAATCTTGAAAACTGAACTACTCTGTTCCAATTTACTATAATCTTCTATGTGAAGCTGCTTTGACACAATCTACATTGTAAAAGCGCTATACAAATAAAGCTGAATTGAATTGAATTGAAAAATAGTGTTTATTTTGCGTCAAAACCAGCTAAATTCACGCCTGCTTTTTTTTTTTTTGCAAAAACTTCTAAATCCACCAATTGAACAAGACAGAGTAATTATTAAATCACTAAAGATGCAATTAGAGATTATTTCACCAAACATGAAACACATTTCACAGACCAGCGGAAATTAAAAATAGATAAATCTGTCAAGTAAGAGGCGGTTCATTCCACTGTGGTAAACCAGGGAAAAATCAGAAGGAAAATGAATGAATGATCTGTTAAGTGCATTAATCAACAACATTAAAAGAAAAACATCTGAATGATCTGTTGTCATTTCTGATATTTAGGATTTAGATTTGAAGTAAGATAGAGCGATGTAAACATTGCAAACATACTGTAGTGTAAAACATCCTGCAACATCAACATCTGTGCATTGCCCATTAATATAAAAAGCTTATCAGACGTACAGGTTATATGAAGTCATATAAATGATGGAGAGATTCAGACATTATATTGATCTGTTTAAAAATAGCTAAAATTAGCAAAATAAAACACAAGGTAGGCCTGCTCGGCAATACTTAAGAAGCTGTCATTCATTCATTCATTCATTCATTCATTCATTCATTCATTCATTCATTCATTCTCACCATACTCAAGGTCTTGGTCTCATGTTTATCCTCAAAGCATCCATGTAGGATAAAAGAACAGCATCTTAACTCTGTTTTTCGTGAAGCGCAGTTGTCGTTTAATGTATAGTAAATCGGACTCATTCAAAGTAGCGTCGCTGCGCAAAAGCACGTTATGAATGCATGCCACACTTCCCACTGTACAGAGTGTTTTCTTTTCCTTATAATGCAGAGTTTTGAGGTAAGGGATGTCTTCATTTGCCATTTACTGACAGTCGGACAAGGTCAATCAACATCATCAAACATCTTCATCAATGCTGTGCTGTGATCAGTCAGCATTAAATGACTACAGGTTTTGAAATCCACACAGAGAGGGTGCACAAACTCTTGCACAACATATTTTCAGTTTTAATGTAATCTCAACACTGCTACACTACAGATTTACGCCTGAAAGACATGACATTATCTGGCTTTCACCGGAAACCCAATGGCATTTCACTGTGATCCTCTCTCATAAAGAAAGAGCACATCATTATGCAGCCACAGAGGGGGGCACAAACTTCTGCATAAAACTGAATACACAGTTAAATATGTAAAATGACAGCTTTAACACAAGGCTTTTGTAGGGAAATATACAACACCAACGCAGACTATATAGCAACGTCAATATAAACTATTACAAAGGTTCAGAAAAGTCTTGCTTTTACACGTGTCTGCAGAATCACTTCACTAGTTTATTCTTTGGTAATACATTGGCAAAACTTGAGTATAAAAAAGGTCTGTTGAATTAAATTGAGAGGGAAACAGCTTACAAAAACCACACACACGCACACACACACACACACACACACAAACACACACACACACACACACACACACACACACACACACACACACACAGTGCATGTTCACTGTGTGTGTGTGTGTGTGTGTGCGCGGTAAAAAAGCAGAGATATGGGTATATTAAGGTCTCCCCATGCGGCCCTGGTTTAATCTGATTCAGCAAATGAAGCGCTGCAAGAGACTGAGAGATCTGAAGTACAGCTCACGCACGCACGCACACACGCACGCACACGCATACACAGAGAGACACACACACACACTAGCATACACATGCACATAAATGCACACACAAAAAGATCAGTCACAAACTAGCATAGATGCACGTACACACACACACGCGGGCAAAAGCACACACACACATATATGCTGCACATGCACTTGCATAAACACACACACAAGCATACACACACCACACACACACCACACAATCAAACACACACACACACACACACACACACACACACACACACACACACACACACACACACACACACACACACACACACACAAGCATACACACACAAGCATACACAAACACACACACACACACACACACACACACACACACACACAGTTCCTCTGTGGATTATATTCAGTGGATGTGTTTGGCGATCTTTATTTTCCGACATGTCTAATAAAACACACACCACAGATCTCTGATCTTCTCTTGTTCATGTGTAGCCTTTAAACACACTCTTAACAGTTTTTATTTTTTAATATAGTTTTGTTATTAATTTTATTCAATATTCATGTGTATTTACAAAATTGTACAACACCAAATAACATCCAATCAAAACACCTTGTCAAATATCAAATACTTTATTGTGTGTTTGTGAACACTGAACTCATCTTCATGCAACACACACTCGTTACTCAACATCCTCATGATGTCTGCCAGAACATAAAGCAAATAAAACAATGTGTGTGTGTGTGTGTGTGTGTGTGTGTGTGTGTGTGTGTGTGTGTGTGTGTGTGCGTGTTTAAGCTAAACGGTGAGTGATATTTGCTCTGTTCTCCACTGATGTTGCTCATCTCTGAGCGTCCGTCTCTCAGCGCTCGCTCTTTATCCTGCATTTTAACACATAATTAAATTAATAATTCATTGTTGCTCAGACAATGTGGACGAAAGGTCAGCTGGAAAATGGGGAGGAAGATCTATTATTAATAACCGCAGTTAAACTCCAGACAACCTGGAGATGCGGATCTGACTGCGGATGAGCACCCATCGGACAAGCCTGCATTAATATTCATGAGCGGGTCAGATGAGCACCGATTGGACAAACCTGCGTTAATATTCATGAGCGGGTCAGAATAACTGCAGAGTTTCTCCAAACTTTGATAAATGACATTTTTTGATAAATGATAAGTGTGTGTGTGTGTGTGTGTGCGTGTGTGTGTGCGTGTGTGTGTGTGTGTGTGTGTGTGTGTGTAACGGAGGCCAGCTAGTAAGTGCTGTGCAGGTAAACCCAGCCTGATCTCACGAGGAAACGTAAGTATTTTACGTTTTGTCAGTTTAGTGGCTGTTCAGTCGTACGAAATTGTACGATTTTAAAAAGGAGGCGTGGCACTTAACCCCACCCCTAAATCCAACCGTCGTTGGGGGATGAGCAAATTGAACTAAAATGTACGAATTAGATCGTACGAATTAGCCACTAAATGAAAAAGTTACGAATTGCCGTGAGAATGTATTGGTAAACCTCACTCCTCTGAGCTCTAAAGGTGCTCTAGCGACAGACACTAGAGATCACGTTTTTTAGCCTCCTTGGTAGAGCAATTGGCTGCCATGCGGAAGGTCGCCGGTTCGATACCAGCTCAGAGTGGGTTGGGTGGAGTAAGACGGGCGGGGTTACACATGTATGCATTTGTGCGTGTGTTCGTCATTTTTATAGCTTGTTTTCATAAATGTTTGATAAATAGTGATATAACTGTATATTTAACGGCACTTTATTGTCTGCGTTGTAAAGTTTCACACACTGTTTTGCTTGTTTCTTTTTTTGCAAAACATACACCATTTTAAGCAGAAGTGTGTTAACTGTATTGGCCCAGACCTCACCCCCCCACCCCCCTTCCAGTGTCTGATGTGGTTTAATTCAAACGAATTGCCCATCGCTGCTCTAAATATTGCTTTAATTTCACAAATCTCCTCCCAAAACCACAGTAACATCTCCGTTTTTCAGTGTTGTGGGCATGAGAGTAGTTTCTGTCATGTGATTTACATTTGAATGGTGGACGCAGTAATTTATGAGGTCTGACGGGACCGGCTAATAATTCAGGGGGGCTAATACTTCAACTTCAACTGTATATTTATCTGATTTTTTATGATATTTTCTGTCTTTTAGTGGATACTTACGAGATACTTACTTTGTTTACCATATTACCTAATTAGATTTGCATTGCAAAACTTCATAATTCATAATTTTTATGGACAGAGTTTCAAGGCGCTGCCTTGGGCTGGAGGGGGTCCGGTTTGGGGAACACAGGATTTCATCTCTGTTATTCGCAGATGATGTTGTTCTGTGAATCCAAATCCCCGAAAGGACAAGATCTCGGATACATGCGGCCGAAATGAGTTTCCTTCGAAGGGTGGCAGGGCACACTCTTATGGATAGGGTGAAGAGCTCTGACACCCAGGAGGAGCTCGGAGTAGAGCCGCTGCTCCTCCACATCGAGAGAAGTCAGCTGAGGTGGCTCAGGCATCTGTTTCAGATGCGTCCTGGACGCCTACCTAGGGAGGTGTTTCAGGCATGTCCCACCTGGACGAGGCCTCGTGGAAGACCCAGGACACGCTGGAGGGACTATGCCTCTGGCTGGTCTAGGAAAACCTCAGGATCCCCCCCCGGAGGAGCCGGAGGAAGTGTCTGGGGAGAGGGAAGTCTAGGGTTCTCTCATAAGACTGCTGCCCCCGCGACCCGGCCCCGCAAAAGCGGCAGAAGATGAGATTGCAAAACTTAAAGGGCACCTAGGTTACCCCCTTTTTTTCCAATTTATTATAAGTGCTTTGCGTCTCCAGAATGTGTGTGTAAAGTTTTAGCTCAAAACACCCATCAGATTTTTCATTCTACCTTTTACAAGATCCTGTTTTGTCGTACAACATCTGACGCCACGACCTAAATCTAACCTAATACTAATGTCTGATGATGTTGTGTGCCTGCTGGGACAGTTCCTAAAGTCATTTAGTAGCTATTTCACATGAAAGACTTTGTTTACCAGTTAAACCAGTATAAGTTTAATAGAAGTTAAAAATATAATGTTATAATAATATAATGTTTTTACTTCCTATACTGTCAAAATCATCACTGAAATCATCACTCTTATTCCAAGAGCATTTTAGGCAGAAATTGCAGAAAGATGTCGGCAGATTCTCTCTGGCCTGAGCTATATGGCATTATGTAGTAACGGTGTGAAGATGATGATGTATAGAGGTGTTCTTACCGTTTCTTCATGAGCAGCACCACGCCGAGGAAGATGATGACGAAGAGTAATATTCCTGCGATGACTCCGGCGATCTTCACCGTGTGGTCCGTCTGTTTCTCCGGCTCCACCGCGCTGGGCTTGTGTGTCGCCGCTCCTGAGGTCAAGCAGAGGTCAAAGGTCAGTTCAACACAGCACATGTTCTTAACGGATGATGCTAGAGGGGATACAGCTGCAGCCGGAAGTCAAGGGAAATTATTAATAACATTACACTTCAACTGTGCTTTATTAACATTTAATTCAATTGATCTTTAATTCTCCAGCGCTTTTGCAACGTAGATAGTGTCAAAGCAGCTGGACATAGACGTTTTAGTACATTAAAAGTGTGGCAGTCCAGTTTTGCTTCAGTCCAGGGTTAAACATCCAGCCCAGCTCTGAAGCTACCGTCACAGTCATGTAAACCAGCAGCAACAACAACAACAACAACAACAACAACAACAACAACAACAACAACAACAACAACTTTATTACATTACATATTAAACTGTTTTCATTAGCGTCTACCTCTACCCCAACCGTACCCCCCCCCCCAACACACACACACTGACTTGCACAAACACACACACACATTATTGTGACACACACAAACACTTTCCCTCTTTCTTGCATGCACACACGCACGCACGCATGAACGCACACACACACACACAAACACACACACACTCGCACAAACACACACACATTATTGTGCACAAACACTTTCTCTCTTTCTTACATGCACACACACACACACACGCACGCACGCACGCACGCACGCACGCACGCACACACACACACAAACACTTTCTCTCTTGCATGCCCACACACACACACACACACACACACACACGTACGCAAACACGCACGCACACACAAACACTTTCTCTCTTTCTTGCATGCACACACACGTGCACGCACGCACGCACAAACACACACACATACAAACACACACAAACACACACTCACTCACTCACTCACTCACGCAAACACACACACATTATTGTGCACACACGCACACACACACTCGCGCAAACACACACACACACACACACACACACACTTTCTCTCTTTCTTCCATGCACACACACACACACAGTGACACACGTGCGAGGTGTACACTCTGATCAGCGTGTGTGAGTGTGTTTTCTGACCTGTTAGCTGGTTGTCTCCAGCGGCCGGAGCGATGCGAACGTAAGGAGTGGTGAGTTGAGTGACCAAGATAGCAGCTGCAAGAACACACACACACACACACACATGCAGAAAAACAGAGAGAGAAAGAGAGTGTGTGTGTGTGTGTGTTTGTGTGAAACAGAGAGTATGTGTGTAAAAGAGAGAGATAGAGAGATAGAGAGTATGTGTGTATATAGAGAAAGAGAGTGTGTGTATATGAGAGAGAGACAGAATAAATGTGTGTGTTTGTGTAAGAGAGAAACACACAGGAGAGAGAGAGATGCTGTTACTCTTCAGTTAAACTTCACAACAGACACAAACTCAGAGTCGTGCAGGAAAAACACCCCCAGAAACACTCCATAAGTCTGGGTTAGTGATTAGACCTGGTGTGTGTGTGTGTGTGTGTGTGTGTGTCAGAGACTGAAACAGTGTGTATAAACTCAAAAGTGTGTATCAGTGATGTTTTCATGATGGTTAAATCGAGCTCCTCTACCTTTGGTGGCCACTCGAACACAGTCGATTTTCGTCTCCTGAAAAAAAAGATGGAAGACAGTAAAACTCAGACACGTCTGAAAGGTATTCAGCATCCTCTGTGATGGAGATTAACACTGTAGAAACGTCCAAAAACAGCCTATTGAAAACTGAATTGTATCATGTCTGCATGAACAGTATATTACAGCGCATGCGGAGAGTATTGACGGCGCTTCACGTTTTCCACATTTTAATGTTCCAGTCTTATTCCACAGTGGATTAAACTGATGTATGTCCTCAACATTCTACACACAATCCCCCATAATGACCATGTGAAGAAAGAGTTTCTGAAGTAGTTTCAGTATCAAATTTTCAATATTAATATCAAATTTAATAAGAATAAAAAGCTGATAAATCACATGTACATCTGTATTCAACGCCTTTGGTGTGAAGCTCTAAACTGAGCTCAGGTTCATTCTGTCTCCACTGATCATTCTGGAGATGTGTCAGCAGCTTCATTGGAGTTCAGCTGTGCTCAGTTCAGCTGATGGACATGATCTGAAAAGGCTACAGCTGTCTATATAAGGACCCAGGGTTGACAGTGCATGTCAAAGCACAAACCAAGCATGAAGACAAAGGAACTGTCTGTAGACCTCAGAGACAGGATTGTCTGGTGGCACAAGGCTGGGGAAGGTGACAGAAACATTTCTGCTGCTCTGAAAGCTCCAGTGAGCACAGCGGCCTCCATCATCCGTCAGTGGAAGATGTTTAACCAGCAGAACTCTTCCTAGAGCTGGCCGGCCATCTAAGCTGAGTGATCGGGGGAGAAGAGCCTCAGTCAGGGAGCTGATCAATAACCCGATGGTCACTCTGTCTGAGCTCCAGCGTTCTTCTGTAAAGAGAGGAGAACCTTACAGAAGGACAACCATCTGTGCAGCAATCCACCAATCAGGCATCTGTATGGTAGAGCGGGCAGACGGAAGACACTCCCCGCCTGGAGTTTGCCATCTGCAGGACTCTCAGAGCATCAGAAACTAAACTCTCTGCTCTGATGAGACTCAAACTGAACTGTTTGGAGTGAACGCCAGGCGTTACGTTTGGAGAACAGCAGGCGGCGCTCATCAGCAGGCTAACAGCATCCCTACAGTGAAGCATGGTGGTGTTGGCATCATGCTGTGGGGATGTGTTTCAGCAGCAGGAGCTGGAAGACTAGTCAGGATAGAGGGAAAGATGAATGCAGCGATGTACAGAGACATCCTGAATGAAGACCTGCACAAGAGTGCTCTCCACCTCAGACTGGGCCGACGCTTCATCTTCCAGCAGGACAATGACCCAAAGCACACCGCCAACATATCAATGAAGCGGCACAACAACAACTCGAGTGGCCCAGCCAGAGCCCAGACCTAAATCCTATTGAACATCTCTGGAGAGATCTGAAGATGGCTGTACACCATCACTTCCCATCCAGCCTGATAGAGCTTGAGAGGTCCTGCAAAGAGGAACGGGCAAACATTCCCAAAGACAGGTCTGCGGAGCTCGTGCATCATATTCAGAAAGACTCGAGGCTGTAATCACTGCCAAAGGGGCATCAACAGAGTATTGAGCAAAGCCTGTGAATACTGATGTACATCTGATTTATCAGCTTTATATCATTAATAAATCTGCAACAATTTCAAAAACTCTTTTTCCACAGGGTCATTATGGGGGATTGTGTGTAGAATGTTGAGGAAATCATTTTGGAATAAGGCTGAACAAATGTGGAAAAGTCAAGCGCTATCAACACTCTCCAGATGAACTGTATATGCTTAACTGTACATTCTCATCTGTAAATGATTAATGAATAATAATATGTCTTGCAAAAATGATCAAAATGAAGAAGATGATTAAAAATAAAAATAATAACGTATGTTTTCAGTGTTTCTGATGTTTTATTATGTTCTCGCTGGCTGTCAACATAAAGTGATTTCATTCTGTATTACATCTACTGTGATCTGTTGAATGACAAAATCACGGAAACAGAAACTGAGAGAATCTTCATGAGGTTGAAAGAATCTGAAATGTGTTCTGCACTGGCTCTCAAATATTCATTTCAAGAGTTCACACTTGCATGCTGTCCCGGGAGAGAACCCTGAGCTCGGAGATAGTTGAGCCCAGGGCTCCCGCCAGGTCCATAGAGCATGTGAGGGGAGTACGAGATCAGGTGGTTCTCGAGAGCTCCCCTTTTGTAAAGGAGGAAAGGAGGAGAAAAGGGTGGATGGGGGTTTCTTCGGAAAACGAAGATAAGGGAGTAAATCAAGCTAGGCTACTTATAGTGAGTTAGGATAGATCTGATTGGCTAACTAATGAGTGTAGATGGGAAGTCAATTATATCACGTGTTCCTCTCGAAATTAGTTTGAAAAACTTCCCTTATTCAGTCATTGTCATCACGCAGTGAGTTTATTTACACATTTGTTATTGGAACTGTAAATGCTTTTGTAACGGAGCAATGAAGTGTGTTAAATTAATGGCTAAATGGGGACAGCGCCCTCTACAGTGTGCGTAATGTAATAAGCTCTTGGAGAAGAGATCGCCCACAGCAGAGTTAACGAAGCATTGCTGTGGGTAAGTTGAACGTTTCTCCTGGGTGGAAAATGACCATTAATAAGTGTTTAAAACACATAAATATTAGCTTTAATGTGACTTAATGTTTCAATGAATATGTTGGGACACTGTTGAGTTGTGTTTGGCGTCGAGTGTGCTGCTCAATCTTGAGTTTATAATGTGTTTATATAACGAGGCCTGATTGTAATCAATTTGTCTTGTGTTTTATATGGAGGTGGTCATTGTCTTTATGAACCAGCAACTATTTACACGCGCTGTCTTGTGCAGTACAAAGACAGCCCAGGCAAGACCGTCACACTTTCTCAGGTGTTGCTCTTTTACATTGGTCTCTGGGAAATACCTGCCTTATAATGCCATCACTGACCAATCAGAATCAAGCGTTTCACAGAGCCGTGTAATATAATATGATCACTATTACACATGCAGGGCAGCACAATCGCCTCACAACAAGAAGGTTGGTGGTTCGAGTCAGTTCAGTTGGTGTTTCTGTGTGGAGTTTGCATGTTCTCCCCGTGTTGGCGTGGGTTTCCTCTGGGAGCTTCGTTTTTTCCCCACAGTCCAAACACATGCGCTATAGGGGAACTGATCAACTACACTGGCCGTAGTGTATGAGTGTGGGTGTTTCCCAGTGATAGGTTGCAGCTGGAAGGGCATCCGCTGTGTAAAACCTGTGCTGGATAAGTTGGCGGTTCATTCCAAAGTGGTGACCTCAGATTAATAAAGGGATTAAGTCGAAAAGAAAATGAATGAATGAATTATACACACACACACACACACACACACGCACGCACGCACACGCACACACTGCATTGTTGTTTTCCTAAAGTGAAAAGAGTACAGCATAATAAATCAATGCTATGAATGTACTGACAGCTGTACATTGAGGGTTATATTGAGGATTGTGTGTGTGTGTGTGTGTGTGTGTGTGTGTGTTGTCCATCATCAGTCATGTGTGATGTGTCCAGCAGGAGTGTGAGCACTGTCTCCTGTCAGCAGAAAGAGCTGGTCCACTGTTGTATGATGATTTTGCTGATGTATCTCTCTCTCTGTCTGTGTGTGTGTGTGTGTGTGTGTGTGTGTGCGCGCTGAGCAGCTGCTGCAGTAAACTTGCATTCAGAGCACCTGGAGCTCTGGCTTTACATTCGTCTTCAGCTCTTCTGCGTTATGACTGCTGCTGTTTCTCCTAGAGGAGCGCTGAGTGCTGTTCAGTGGGTCTGTCAGAGGCAATGCCCTGCACTGATACTGTACACAAACAGACTGCAGCTCTCACAACTACACCTGTTACACAGCACCGTCCACACAGCCTTCACACACACACACTGAAACACTACAGTGACAAGTGGACAACACCCTGGTAACCAGTCAGAACAAACCTAGCAACCACTCAGAACATCCAAGCAACACCCCAGCAACTATTTAGAAAACTATAGCAACCATTCAAAAAGCCCTGGCAACCAAACACAACAACTTGATTATCACCATAGCAAACAGTGAGGATAGCCCGGCAACCAGCAGAACCTGAGCAACCACCAGAAAAGAACAGCACCTTCATAACCACTCAAAACAACATGGCAACACCCTAGCAACCATTCAAAACAACCTGAAAAGACCCTAACAGCCACCAATAACAACAAAATCAATTTAAAAATGACCACATGACAGCACGCTAGCAACCACTCACAATGATTTCACAAAACCCTAGCAACCACTCACAACAACCTAGCAACACACTGGCAATCAGCAGAACCTGTGCAACCTCCAGAAAAGAACAGAAAACACAAAATGACCACCTGACAGCATGCTAGCAACCACTCATAATGACCTGACAACACCCTAGCAACCACTCACAACCTCACAACACCCTGGCAATCAGAAGAACTTGTGCAACCCTCAGAAAAGAACAAAAAACACTAAATAACCCACTGACAGTACCCTAGCAACCACTTACAATGACGTGATAATACTGTAGCAACCACTCATAACAACCTAGCAACAGCCTGGCAATGAGAAGAACTTGTGCAACCTTCTGAAAAGAACAGAAAACACGCAATGACTACCTGACAGCACCTTAGCAACAACTCTCAGCAACCTGACAACAGCCTAGCAACCACTCACAACAACCGAGCAACAAGCTGGTAAGCAGAAGAACTTGTGCAACCTCAAGAAAAGAACAGGAAACACCAAATAACAACCTGCCAGCACCCTAGCAACCACTCACAACGACCTGACAACACCCTAGCAACCACTCAGAACAACCTAGCAAGACCCTGGCAACCAGAAGGACTTGTGCAACCCTCTGAAAAGAACAGAAAACACTAAATGACGACCTGACAGTACCCTAGCAACCACTCAAAACGACCTGACAACACCCTAGCAACCACTCACAACAACCTAGCAACACCCTGGCAACCAGTAGAATTTGTGCAACCTTCAGAAAATTACAGAAAGCACTAAATGACCACCTGACAGCACCCTGGCAACCACTCACAACAACCTGAAAACACCCTAGCAACCACTCAGAACAACATAGAAACACCCTGGCAACTAGAAGAACTTGTGCAACCTCGAGAAAAAAACAGAAAACACTAAATGATTACGTGACAGCACCCTAGCAACCACTCACAACAATCTGACAACAGCCTAAAATCACCCAAGACAACCTAGCAAGACCCTGGCAACCAGAAGGACTTGTGCAACCCTCTGAAAAGAACAGAAAACACCAAATGACCACCTGACAGCACCCTAGCAACCACTCAAAACGACCTGACAACACCCTAGCAACCACTCACAACAACCTAGCAACACCCTGGCGACCAGTAGAATTTGTGCAACCTTCAGAAAAGTACAGAAAGTACTAAATGACCACCTGACAGCACCCTAGCAACCACTCACAACAACCTGAAAACACCCTAGCAACCACTCAGAACAACATAGAAACACCCTGGCAACTAGAAGAACTTGTGCAACCTCGAGAAAAAAACAGAAAACACTAAATGATTACGTGACAGCACCCTAGCAACCACTCACAACAATCTGACAACAGCCTAAAATCACAACCTAGCAACACCCTGGCAACCAGGATAACCTGTGGAACCTTCAAAAAAACAATGACCACCTGACAGCACCCTAGCAACCACTCAAAACAACCTAACAACATCCTGGCAACCAGCAGAGCCTGTATAACCCCCATAACAGAAAAACACAACACTCAGAGCACCCAAACTCCCCCAGAACAGCCCAGGACAGCATTCAGAAGCGCAGCATCACATCAATCACACAGACAACCTGGAAAAACAACCTCCTAATGAGTTTTTAATTAGTCTTCCTTGACTCGCTCTCATAAAAATATGTAAAAATGCATTAAAAATAATAAGACAAACGTACTTGAGAGGCAACGCTGCATATATTAAGGCTTGTTTTCGTAGCCTGTTTCCCTAATTTAAGTGTATTTAGTTTCGCTGCACTGGAGATTTCCACACTCACTTTTAATTATTTTTTTAAGCTTAAAACAAAGGAGAAACTCAATGCCAGAAACTCAAAACTTTGTCTGAAACTAGTCCTAATGTCTGCTGCAGTGCTGCCTCTCAAGTGAATCATCCTGTTTTAAGAAGCTTTAAATGTAAAAGTACACACAAACACTCATTAAGAAGTGTGTTTTTTTAACTCTGAAGCAGGAGACCGTTATTTAACTCAATTAAAAGCATAACAACCTGCAGTTACCTGCGCTGAAATGACAAACAGAAATCAAACACACATTCAACACTGCAACACATTTATTTCTTCCTCTGGGTTTATATTCATTCATTCATTTTCGTTTTTGCTTAGTCCCGTAATTTTATTACCTATGTATATTGTTTTAGACCACATTTTATGTATATACCGTAAATTTTCTTTTTCTTAAACTCTACTATTTTTTATATATTTTTTTATATTAATGTTAAGCACCTTGGGTCTGAGAGTAACGCAATTTCGATTCTCTATATGTCTTGTACATGTGGCTGAATTGACAATAAAGCTGACTTTGACTTTGACTTGATTTACCTGGGGTCGACACAGTGGAATGAACCACCAACTATTCCAGCATATATTTTACACAGCAAATGTTCGGTGTGTGTGTGTGTGTGTGTGTGTGTGTGTATGTGTGTGTGTGTGTGTGTGTGTGTGTGTGTGTGTGTGTGCAGCAGCTCCACAAGTGTTCTTGTGTGTGTTCCTCCGTCCGCAGGGATGCTCTTCAGCTCAGATCTCCATCACCTGCTCCTGATCTGATGGATAATTGCGTTGTCTGAGTTTCCCGCAGGAGCGCTCCACAAACTCTTTCAGCACATGCGAGAATACTTCAGCTCAGACATGTTCATTTATAAGCCAGGGGAGGTTGAGTGCTTGATTCTGATTGGCTGATGAACATCCTAAGGTGTTCTGGTAAGTTATAGACTGTACAACATAATTCATTCATTTTCCTTCTGCTAAATCTCTTTATTCACACAGCAGAATGAACCACCAACTATTCCAGTATATGTTTTACACAGCGGATGCCCAGTACTGTAAAACACCCATACACACTTATTCACACACACTCACACACACTATGGCCAGTGTAGTTGATCAGTTTCCCTATAGCGCATGTGTTTGGACTGTGGGGGAAACCGGAGCACCCGGAGGAAACCCACGCCAACTTGGGGAGAACATGCAAACTCCACACAATGCTAACCACTGAGACCCAGTGTCACCCCAGACTGAGCTGGATATTTCCCTTCACTCAGAGCTGCGTTACACACTGATGGAGATCTTTCTCAAACACATATAATAATGAAAATGAAAGGATTTAAATGTAGGATTGGTATCGTCTGTGTGCCTCTGAATGGGATGCACGTGTAAATGTAGAGTAACTGTACCCCGTTGGCGGTGCTGACCGCCTGATAGTAGACGCTGTAGCTCTTGTGCGGCAGTAGCGGAGGGTTCCAGTAGCCGCTGTATGTTCGGTTGTCCCCGATGGTGAAGGGTTGCGCTGACGGGACGCCGGCGGATGGGAATTCTGCGCTGTAGTAATAGCGAGAGCTCAGACTGCTGGCGTTCTGATAGTGAACCGGCACCGGGAAACAGCGCAGGATCTCCGCTTCACCACCACGAGCCCGACGAGGGCGCTCTTCCTCCACCACCACCTGATACACACTGCAGAGAAGAACACACTGATTTACATTTACTGCATTTACACAGCATACACGTCTAAATAATACAGTCTACTCAACACTGAACCCTGAATAAACATAAACTTTTAAAACAGGTTTAGGACTATGCATTATAATGATATGTTGTATATAAACATAAATCAAGAGAGAAGGTTGCTGGTTTGAGTCTCGGCTGGGTCAGTTGGTGTTCCTGTGTGGAGTTTGCATGTTCTCCCCGTGTTGGTGTGGGTTTCCTCCGGGTGCTCCGGTTTCCCCCACAGTCCAAACACATGCGCTATAGGGGAACTGATCAACTACACTGGCCATAGTGTTTGAGTGTGTGTGTGTGTGTGTGTGTATGTGTGTGTTTAAATGAGTATGGGTGTTTCCCAGTTCTGGGTTGCAGCTGGAATGGCATTCGCTGTGTAAAACACATGCTGGATAAGTTGTCGGTTCATTTCGCTGTGGTGACCCCTGATGAATAAAGGGACTAAGCTGAAGGAAACTGATTGAATGAGTGAATAATAAATATTAATATAATTAACTGCATCCAAAAAAGTTCAGATATA